CGTATGTATTCGTAGTACGTATATCACAAAACGGAACAGTAAACCTAAAGCAAACGGCACCAAACAAGAATATGTCTATGACTGTAACGACCATCTATCTATAAACAAGCTCCCGTTAGTTATTTAAATGAAACACCAGTGACTTCTCTCCCGCCATGTAGACGACGCTCCGTCTCAGCCGCAACACCGGAAAATCAGCAAGTAGCCAGACTTAATTTCAACGTCAAACTATATAAAATCATAGGGGCTATTTAACAGCCAACACTCTTCACAATTGGCTATATCGCCGTATCACCGAAACACATAGAACAAAGAGCTTTTGGGTATATCTCTTACTCGCCAACCTACCTAGGTACCTACACAAGTTCATGGTCTCTCACGTTTTGAACAGATTTAAACTTATGCTTCACTTCTAACTCGCATCCTTAGCCCACTGCTCGACCCCGACGCCGAGTAGTACATAAACACCTAAGGTAGGCCTCACGAAGTCAAGTCACCATCTTTCAATTGCTATCTAGCTCCATGTCTCCTCTGCTCCCCCTACGTGCGTTCACGTACCTATAACGCTCAACGCGTCTCGGCAAGGTAACATCTAAATAGGTTAAATAGGTATCTAGCTACTTAGCTAGCTATGACCGCGTAACTCCCCGCCTGTCCGTTCCAATGTATGCACGTAGACATGACATGTGCGATTGCGTAACGACAAAAAAAAGACAACAAAAAGACACATGACATCGTGGTTGGTCCTGTTCTCATAACCCATCGCAAGCAGTTTCGTCATGCCCGGCCGCTCTCCCTCCCTCGCCCTCCCTCATCCCTACGAGCTCTGTCCTCCGCAGGGACAATCCCCGCCCCCGATTCAGTTGATACACCCAAAAAGACGGGATCGTACACGCCTGCGTGGGGAATTGGAAATTCTATCCGCAGAATCTAGCCCTTGGGGGCTATGATGATGAACAAGGCCGCATATCGGTAAGGTAAAAGAAACGGGACTAGAAAAAACACGGGCTGGCGTAGGGGGTATAATCCTTCTATCTGTATGGTCGAATGAAACCGAGCTCCTCGCGTGTCCTTGCGTATTATCGAAAACATTGAACAGTCTAGTTTCGTATGCATGCCTCGTGGTCGTTCTTATCCGTGGTATTTGTCCCCTACTTTTGGAAAAACCAGCTGCTTCTCTTATTGGCATTGCCTTCATTCTGTAGGTTGGCGATAGTCGGGACCTGAGCCGGAGCGTCACTGGCAGTGCCACCACCACGGAGGGGCTTCGCAATACGGCTGCCTGCATTGGCAAAGCTGAAGCCACCGCCGGGTGGCGAGTTGAGGCCACGGGTCGAACCGGCCTTGGCTGCCTCGAGACGCTCCTTGACAGCGGTAAGTTGAGACTCGAATCTGTTATTGATGTTAGTAGATAATGGCAGGTTGGGGTAAACAATGACAAACCTGTGGTTCGCAGCGGTCAGCTTTTCTTGGCTGTCCTGCAACAAGCTCTCCAAACTAGAAATACGCTCGTTCCTCGCGATAAGCTTCCTCTCGGCGATGGCTACCTCCTTCTTCAGGCTGCTATTTTGCTCAACAAGTTGGCGTTGGACTTGGGTTAGCTGTTCCAAATTGCGCTCAAGGAACGCCATCTTCTTCTGCTGGGCGCGGTTGTTAGATGACCGCAACACGTTGTTGTATTGTTCTCGAGTTTCATCGAGCGAAATCTCGAGCTCGACTACCCTCTCACATCTGTTCTGTAGGTCTCTCATCAAACTCTTCTTCATGACGTCGAATTCGGCGATTTGCTGCTGCATCGTCTTGCCATTGGCCATACCTGGTACACCGCTATGCAAGGATAGTTCAGCTTGTCGGACGATGCCCTGGGTTTCCACCAGCTTAGCCTTCAATTCCTGTAGATCATCTGGCGGGATCGGGTCTCCTGATGAGCTCAACTCATATAACGCCTCAACTTGTTGAATAGCAGTAGCAATAGACTGTTCATTGGCACTGAACACGTCTCCACCTAGATCGAATCCTGCCATCATCTGAGCCATCTTCTCGGCCTTCTTCTTCTCCTTATCATCCAGAACAGCGCTCGTCTCCTTCGCGCTCATCTTGATGTCTAGGAGCTGTTGTTTGACCTCGTCGAGCTCTGTCGTCAGTTCCGCATTCGCCTCCTTTAACGCATCCATTGTGATCTGAGCCTCCTTGCTTTCAAAGGTTAGCCGCTCGAGTTGCATTTTAGCCTCGTTAACCTCAGTTGTTAATTTCTCATTCTCTTTTCCTAGTTTGCTATCGTGCTCCTTCAAGAAAGTTAACTCTTCCTTAGACTCTAGGAGAGACTTCTCGGCTGTCGCAACAGCGGACTCCTTCTCGGCTAATTGATCCTGGAGCTCATTCTCTCTCCGGAGGAATTCCTCTCTCTCATCCTTATCTAGAGGGAGACTTGGTGTTCCCGAGCGTTCTGCCAGCCCCGGTGTGTCGGCACGGCTCTCTGGTATCAGTCGGGACGGGGTCGAAGGTCGATGAGTCCTCGAGTCCGCCCTTGTACTGACGACGCCGTCAGCAGATATTGCCGGCACCCATCGATCCTTGGGCACAGTTTCGCCGCCACGCCATAGCTGAAGTTCCACTTCCAAGTTGGAGATATACGTCTCGAAAGTTGTAATATTAGTTTTAGCCTTAGCAAGCATAGCCTTGAGCTCGGCGGGACTAAGTTCGGCGTTGACCTTCGCTTTGTTCTTGATCGATTTCGCCCTCATACCGAAACGTAATGTGCTCAGAGTTTCGGCATCATTGTAGCTACTGGGAGAACAATTTATTATAAGCGTCGTCCTGCTGTTTCCACCAAGAGACTCTTGTAAGATTCGTGTTAATTTCGAGTCACGATAGGGTACGTGTGAGGATTTGCCGTCGGTGAGAGCGTTGATGACCATACCCAGGGCACTCAAACTCTTGTTGATCTTCTTCGCTTCCTCCAAGGTTTGACCGCTGGCACCGGTCTTGCCGACCTTTTCACTACCAGCCAAATCAACTAAGAACAGTTGACCGCTCTTCATGGAACCGGTTTCGAGGTTTTTCTGAGAGATGGTGATGACGAAGATAGAGTGAGAACGGGAGGATTCCTGGTTCATGTTGGTGGCAGCAACAGCTCTTGCATTTCCACCCCTCTTCATAACTTCAAAAACTTCTTCTACGCTCGAGACGTAGATCTCCAGGAGACCCTTGACATACACGCCCCTGTTCTTCTCCTCGTGGACTGGTAGGTTGTCGTTCTGCGGCGCTAGCAGGTCACGGATACGCTCCATGTAGATTTCCATATAGCTGACTCGAACCGTATATTCGATGGTGGGCGGACTGGACATGATACTACTGAAAATCTGCTCTACGATACGAGGCGTAATACCCTTTCCTTCGTCGTCTTCTATACTCGTACCCATCATGGTATATGACTTTCCGGCACCTGTCTGACCGTATGCAAATACTGTTCCATTGTAACCGTTGAGGATATCATCGACAGTGGGCTTGATTGAGTAATCGAATATGTCGACCTGTCTGCCTTGCATACTAAACACACGATCGAAGGTGAAAGAACCTGCAGCCTCGGCTGACTATATTCCGGTTAGCAACATTAGCATAAGCAATAACGGAACGGGAGATGCTGCAGATCTTGGCGGGGAAAACTCACATTGAGGGTACAGGTATCGGGGCCATCGAAGGTAACAATAGGCTCTCCGCCTGATGCTAACTCGATCTTATTCTGCGGCCGAAAACGGGCAACAACTTTGATACTATTTGCGCTTGCCATGATGAAGTTTGTCGTTTGTTGGACGGCTACGCGCAGAGGGGATTATGTATGAAGGGGAAAGGCCTATTTCATATTAAGGAAGTAAGTCTTGTATGTATCTTGCATGTACAGACACAGCTCGGCCGAAAAGACGGCGAACAGGCCAAAGAATGTTGAACGGATGACAATAAAGCCTGCTTATATGTCGTGCTGGTGTTTAATATGGTAATTAAAACCAGCTTGGTGGTGGAGAGTGAGTGTCGCGTCAATTTTTGGGGTCGGCGTTTGTATTGGGAGAAAATAGGCCTCTAAACCATTTCAGTGGGGTTCGGCGTGTCGGCGTGTCGGCGTGCCTGAAGTTCAAGTGAACCTAATCCAGGGGAACTGCCACCTACAACTTGCAAGGAAGAAAGACGCCACAATTTGGCGGTATGCGTTAAGCTTATACTATTCTTGTACCTCTGCACGGCGCTATGTTATTAACCTGAAAGTTTACTTCATGCTGCCAAAATATTCTAATGCAAACCTAGATAAGGCTTTGCTTATAAATGTATGAATTGACAAAGGGCCTCTAGTACAGCATAAACACATGTCCTTTATTAAGTTACCATCTAGGTACAATACCTTATCCTACCAGTTCACCCCACTATTTAAAAACGACGCGTCACAATATGAACCCGACAAGACCTCGAATTCCTACCTAAAGTTACCTAAATACATGTACCTTATGTACCTACCCATAGACCTGGGACAGTAATGCAAGTACCTAATGGATAAATGCATGACAAAATGCAGCTTGTAAAATAGAACAAGATAGTTCGTTTAACTCTTAACTATGTTAGGTACTTTACCATGTAAGATTATTTGCATCCTAACTATAGGTAATGGTATTCATGCATACATCTAACAAGCTAAAAATCTTCCAAATGAAACTGAAAAATAAAATCAACACAAAAGACAAGCTAAACACCACACGAGTTTTCGTTCCGTTTGCTGTTTATTGTATTTCTGCTATAAACTCAACGACTAGGTACCGTACTAATCATATCTGACATTCCTATTAAGAACAAAACGAGAACGCCTGGGCTGATGCGGGGATCTAGGAAATAATACCGATGTAAAGTAGTGGTCCGTCATGTGATCATCCGGGCATCAAGGAGAATGGGCTTCTCCAGAGCACCTTAACCTGGAAAAATCGATAATCCCTCCTGTTCGACGCCCACCAAAACATCGAACCTTTGCGCCTCTTGAGATGAATCTCTGCCACTCCGGTCTCTGGGGAATCATACCCGTTTGTGAATAAATCTGGCCAGAAGCCCATACCTAGCGCGTGTGGAATCTAGTTGAGATGATTGTCATTTGCGTTAATTCCATGGTTGATATTGGGTTCTGATGGTCCAAGGGGGTAGCTTAATCCTCCCAGCTCTTCTCCACCGTCTCGCGAACTCTCTTAGTGTATTCCTTTCGGTTGTCCTTATACAGATTGGACGCCTCTACGTTCGCAGGAGAACCGGTGTTGGGGTCGTTGAGTAGACTAATTACAAAGATGTTAGCATTCGAAATATCCCATTGTCCTGTTGAAGTTACTCTTTCCTACCTTTGAATGCTCGTCAAGACAGCCGCAACATCGTACGTGGGGCTCCATCGGTTCTGGAGGATGTCTAGACACAGCTCGCCTGTGGCATAGACGTTAGGGTGGAACATCTGGCTGATGAATTTAACAGCAGGTGGCTTGTTCGGGTATTGCTCCTCGAAGTGCATCACAAGCCGGAAGGTTCCATCTTCGAACGGGGTATCGGCAGGTCCAATGATGACAGCGTTCCTTTGCGAAGCTATTGTTAATTTCGTGTTGCCATGGGTATCGACCAGCAACTCGTAAGCTTACCAAGTCATGACATTGTCGGGGACGGGAGAAGCAGATACGCCAGCGGGAGGGTCAGTCTGCATGCGCTATGAGATCTTGTTAGCGACTACCTAGATATTATAGCTAGCAATAGAAATCCAACCTTGAAGTCTCGCATTAAACGACGGCGGGCAGCAGTCGACATCTTGATCTGACCTGAATGGACTTTGGAAGGGGTTTGGTTGAAGGATGGTCTAGGAATCCCTAGAAATGAGATTCTGTAAACAAGCGTCGGCTTGTTCGGATGTTGAAGGGGCGATTCGTAAAAGGTTAGGAGAAAATGAGAAGAATATCGTGATGGGATAAGGCGAATGAAGTTGATTAATTGGTAATATGATGGGGTTTGGGGCGGCGATTGTCTTTGTTAGAGGTATTGGCCGGGAGAGATTGACGTGATAAGGAACGGTACATCGGTACTTTGAACCGATGTGGTCATGAAAGAAAAGCGTTCGCGCGGCAGCGTCGTCACGTGGTAAAGACTTTCTTGCTCTATGCAGTGATTTACTTATGTAATACAGTGTCCATATATTCTACACCTTCCCTACTGCGTGTCCAGATAAGTATAGAGGGAAAGATAAGCGTGATTGGGGAAATTCAATGTTTCACTACATACCTACCTAGGTAGGTAGGTCTAAGTATCACTGTTCTACATAGAGGTAGTGACATCGGGGAATGGTTGGCAGGGACGACCATGTACAATACTACAAAATGAGCAGGCTGTTTCCCCAGATTATCTAGGACCGGGTTCCTCGGTTGTTTGTAAGCGCAATTATTGGCGGAAGGAGAAACATCCCGCTGAAAGCCGAGGTGCTAACTGCCTATCTTCGAGGACTTGCAGCCATGACGTTAGCTGTTCTTTCTTCTCATAATACCAATCTCCGTTACTTTCAAATTATACTCTAAACCCTTCTGCTATCTTTCGATCCCAAGTGTCAAAATGATACTTCAAGTGGGAATGCTTGGATCGACGGCTAGAAGCTCATGCCTTCGAGCGGGGACACGAGCATTAAGAACACAGCGCCACTTCTCGGTTCAAACGGCCCGTCGGCAAGAAATTCGAGATGCATACATTCTAAGCGCCTCTAGGACGCCCACTGCAAAGGTGAGATCCTAGGGGTATATATCAATGTTATAATAACTAACAAAGAAATAGTTCAACGGCTCTTTTATTACGGTCTCTGCGCCGCAGCTCGGCGCCGTTGCTATTAAGTCGGCCCTTGAAAAGTCTAAAGTTCCTGTCGAAAAGATTACAGATGTATATATGGGAAATGTATTACAAGGTTCTATCGGACAGGCTCCCGCCAGGCAAGCCGTTATCTTTGCTGGTCTTCCCAAGTCCGTCGAAGCCGTTACTATCAATAAAGTTTGCGCCTCGGGGTTGAAGGCCGTAGTTTTTGCGGCCCAGAATATTCAACTTGGTCTAAGTGAAGCCCAAATAGCGGGTGGTATGGAAAATATGTCACAAGTTCCGTATTATGTCCCTCGTGCGAGTTCTTTACCACCATTTGGCCACGTCAAGATGGAGGATGGCCTTATCAAGGATGGGTTGACGGACGTATACGATCAGTTTCACATGGGTATCTGCGCCGAAACGACTGCTAAGAAGTATGATATATCCCGAGAAGCACAAGACCAATATGCTATTCAATCATACGAGCGAGCACAAGCTGCGTGGAAGAACAAGGCCTTTGCGGATGAAATAGTCCCCGTGACTGTAAAAGGCCGGAAGGGTGAGACCATCATCGATACTGATGAGGGATATTTGGATATCAAGTTAGAAAAAGTTCCCACACTAAAGCCAGCTTTCATTCGCGACGGCACGGGCACCGTCACTGCAGCGAATTCGTCGACGCTGAATGATGGCGCTAGTGCCTTAGTACTAGGAAGCAAAGACATCGCTAAGGAGTTTGGAGCTGGCTCTAGAGTCCTAGCGAGGATATGCGGTTCCGCTGACGCCGCGGTTGATCCCGTGGACTTCCCCATCGCACCAGCCAAAGCTGTGCCTATTGCTCTAGAACGCGCAGGCATTACAAAAGACCAGGTTGCGGTCTGGGAATTTAACGAGGCCTTCGCTGCGGTTATCAAGGCCAACGAGAAGGTGAGAACTGATAGATCACTTTAAGCCATAAAGTTACTAACAAAGGATAATAGATTCTCGGTCTAGAGAAAGCCATTGTAAACCCTCTAGGTGGTGCAATATCTCTAGGTCATGCGTTAGGTAGTTCGGGATCCCGAATCCTAACGACATTACTACATCAACTCAAGCCAGGGGAGTACGGTGTTGCCGCTATTTGCAACGGAGGTGGTGCGGCTACTGCTATCGTTGTTCAGCGAATCGAATCTGTATAGTGCTGCATAGTGGTAATAGGTGCTTGGAAGGAAAATATACCCGCCACTTCGTATAGAACTTTGGAATGTGGTTAGTAGCCTAGGCTTGAAAAGTTCTGCTGATACTTAATATCTAAGAGATATGAGCCAATGAGTGTAATGAGTTTCAATCTCAATCTGTAGCACATATAGGTTATCAGCTTTTTCAACTATTAATCTCTCAACCTAGATAAGTAGGCCGGTAGGGTAAAGGCTGTTCTATTTAAGGATTATCACATGCATTAGTTACATTGTCGATCCTATAAATTACCTACCTTATACATGTGTGTAGGACGAGTACGACATTTCGGACGTGTACTTTGTACATAACCCCGCGTCCGCATGTAAGATGATGTCACATGCGACTTCGAAGCGTAGAAGGCTCGGGTCTTTGCAGGTCCTTGCAGGTCCCCTAAAGATTTAATTGGTCATCACTACACTAAGCGCGTTCCGTACAATGCCTCCATAATTTTTACGTGTATGCTTCGTCCCGTTACATAATTCGCAGTTCAGCTTTTGGTTCATAGCCTCACAACAGCAGCGCCTTAACAACAGCACGCCACTCCAAACATTATATCGTCACATACGGGCTAGCTTCAATCCTTTAATTACCGTTCGAACTACGAGCTCCTATCTGCCTACCTACTTCGCATCCCTGAACACGATGATCGTCTGAACGAGAACTCTCCCTAATTCTCATATCTCCACCAATTTCCACCATGGCCGTGACAGCCCAATTCCTTACGGGTGTCCGCGATATTCTCAAGAGTCTCAATGGAGAGGCGCTGCGCGATTGGCTGAAGGTCGAGCCACCTTTACCGCAGGAATACTACAACCTCGCATCCGAGCTCAAGAGTACCTATCAAGATGACAATGCGCTCGAAAAGCTAGTCGAGAAATGCTTACCAGAAGAAGATGACGTTCCAGAAGGCCAGGGAACAACATGGCCCGGCTTCCTCTCTTTTACAAAAGACTATCTTATCTACTGGAGGGACGTGGAATTCGACGACCTTTTGGGCGCCCATCAATTGCTCACAGCATTGACCAAGTATGTTAGCTCGACCATTCTGATATTACGTCGCACCCGACTAAGACGAGCAGTTCATGCGCCACGGCGCTTAACAATCCCACGTATGGAACAATAATGTTGCAGTCGAGCATATCACTTTGCGGCTCTCTGTCGACCTTGTCGATGACCCTAAATAAACGACCTGATCTCACTAGGAAATTGGCGGCTATCCACGCTGGGGACGAGGAACGGAAGTCGGTTATCGAGGTCACGGCGGAGATTATGCAAAAGTTCTTTACAACGTGTCTCACCGACCGGTCGAGTCCACGCTTCGCACAACCCACAGGCAAGAAAGTCGGCATTTACGTCTTCGCCAACAAGACTTTGAAGCTATTAACCATGGTGCGTTAAGCACGTTTAGCTACAGCAAATATCATACTAAATCCTGACGATATCTTAGAATAGCAAGTCTTACCTAGCGGCACAGCTGTTGACTAACATTATGGCAAAATCACCGCCGCTTTCGTACTATCCAGCCGCTCAAAGAGTGACATTTTTGTATTTCCTCGGCCGCTTCCACTTCAACCACAATCACTTCTGGCGGGCTGCACAATGCTTACAGGAGGCCTACTCACAAACGCCAACACGTTTCCTAAAGCATCGCCGAATCATACTCACATACTTGATACCGGCGAATTTCGTCCTAGGCCGCCTACCTTCACAGGCTCTTCTCCAGCGACCAGAAGCTCAGTCTATGGCTCAGTGTTACTCTCAGTTTTCATTAGCAATCCGAAAAGGCGACTATATACTCTTCCAGCACACCATCAAACAGCACGAAACCTGGTTAAGGAGCAAAGGCTTTTCTTTATATACCACCCTCCAATGGCGTATTCGGCCGCTGCTCTGGCGATCGCTCTCGCGGCAAACCTTCTTACTGACGTACACGCCTCCCGCCGAAGGCGATTCGCGCAAAGCTGCCGTATTAAAGCTTGCGGATTTTAATACCACAATGAGTTATGTCCAGAAGCGGCTCGAGGGATATCTCCCCGCAAAATTGGCTCCAAAGGGACGCCAGTCTAGTGTCAATAGTTACCTCCTGAAAGCTGTTTCCAACAGTGCGGGGACTAGTACGGGGAACTCTACCATCATGCCGCCTCCCGGTGGACCCAAGCATCTAGCGCCAGATGAGGGTTTATTGTCCGGTAATATGGCTGTGGATGACCTCGTCGTCGAGAACATCGTCGCGTCGCTGATAAGCCAGGACCTTCTACACGGGTATATAGCGCACTCTCAGGGCGCATTCGCTATCATGGGCACTAAGCAGAAGGGCAGTGCGGTAGCGGCCGGCTGGCCCACCGTCAGCGAAGTAATCGATCAGCGGTCCGTGGAGTCTGTTGTTCCGGGATGGGTCAAGGATGAGTAGATGGGGGGGTTTTTTTTTTCTTCAACACGCGAGGAAGCAGACCTAAGATTAGAAGAGGTATAAAATAGGGTTGGTTTCGGCCTGTTTCAACCAAGCCATAACCATGCATAAAGGAGTCTGTCTCCTGGTATAGCGAAGTTACGAATGATACCCAGTATGAGCTTTTTCTTCGTGGATATTGGATTGTGTTATGATATCATTTACACTTTTACAATTCGTTCAATATCCCCCGGCTTTATGTAAGCGTTCCGTTAATTACCTAGGTTAGGTACCTATATTTATAAATTGACCCCTTTTATTCCCATGATTACCCAATCGATAAGATATTATTCAACTACGTAACACACTTAACTAACCTACAGCTTTTCGTTTACACCAAGTTTTACTCAACCCCATCTTCATACTTATACGTTATTGTATGGGTAATTTAATGTTGATTCAGTAAAATTCAAGAATTACTGGGCAAAGCCTAGTGAAACTCAATATAGCTAACGAATTACCTAATCCCACCACAACGTCAGGTCAGAGTTTTACTAACATATGAAAGCATTTATTCTTCCAAAGTCAAGTCTTTTTTTTCCGTAAAGCTTCAAACACCATTGCTAACATTCGGCTTCGCGAATCTGTAAATCTTATGGTCATCGGATCCCGGAAATTCCTGAACCTCGACGATAGGTTCGAAGTCGGCAATTTGTCCGTTATGCTTAAGGCATGCTGGTAGGTTGTCGCCGTGGTTGTTCCGCGGTTGGTAGGAAGCGTCATTATTCAGTCGCCAGATCAGCGATTCGTGCAGGACGGCATCTGGCGGTATGTCACGCGTGGAACCCGCGTTTAGCGGGAAGCGGATGTTCCGCCACTCGTTATGTCTGTGGAAGAGTTCCCAGCGCGTGATGAGCGGGAGCCATTCTATCCAAGTTGGCAGGTCAGCATTGGCAGAGTAGGAGGGCGGAAATGGACTTACCCATAAACTTCCAGAGCAAAACGGTGGCGAATCCTGAGCCATAGCCGTATGAGAGGGAGTCATGTATGAACCCCTTCAACGCTTGCTCTTTTCTCTCCCCAAACCGTTTCTTGAATCCCTGGAGATTCTTGCACCACTTGACTGCCGCCGACGGATCCATCTGGCCCACGAGCTCGACCTCGCGGATCATCCAAGCGAGCGGGATATCACTCATCTGGAAGGGGTCAGATCTAATGTCCATAGTAGGATCCTTGGACTTGCGCGTCGTCCAGAAATTCTTGACGCGCTGCCAGATGGTCATCTGCTTGCCGGTGTCAAGCGGGTGCTCAGCCGACGCCGGCCAACCACCGCCCACGTCTCCGTGGCATCCCGGGAACCAGACCTCCTTGATGTCCTCGTCCTGCTTTGTCGAGGCCCGGATGTCCTGGGCTAGGAGCGCGGCTTTGAACTTGACGCGGCGCTCGTCGACGGCCACGGCGTGCCGCACGAAGTGCGCTGTTCCCTTTACCGGGACTGGCATAGGAGCTTTGCGCTCAAGGATCGCGACTGAGTTCACGCAGTCCCAGATCCCGAGGAAGTAGACCTTGATGTTATGTTCTTTGGTCTTCCCGTTTTCTTTCGTGACTTTTTCTTTCCGGCAGAACGTATTACTGAACGCGGTGATCTCGTCCTTGGCCCGCTTGTACTTGTGGCCATGGTGTTTGTCTTTGTCGTTGTCCTCGTTCTGATTATCATGACCGTTTTGTTCGTCGTGGCCGTTTTGCTCGCCGTTCTGCTCGTCTAGTACCGGTTGTGTCTCAGTTAGTCCTGTGTCGACTTTCGCGGCCTGTTTCTTGCCTTTCTTAGAGCGCGCAAGGTCGACATTGTCAATCTCGCCTTCTAAGTAGCGTTGGTAGAGCCGGTATGCAAAGGTCACCATTTCCTCGTTTCCTTTACAGAGTAATCCTACGGTATTGATCATACGTGCTAGAAATTTGGCCGTGAAAGCACCTCGACTAAATCCAAACATGTAGATCTTGTCCCCCTTCAAGTATTATAAGTAAGTGACAACGATCGATCAGCTTCAGAAGGATTGCTTACAGGGTCATAGTATCGCATCAAGAATCTGTACCCAGCCATGACATGGGCATCAAAAGTCGTACCAATACCCTGGTCGATGGTTTGCGAGATAGAGCTTCGCAGCTCACCGAGCCAGGTCTTGTTGACAGTCGTCTCATTGATATCATACGTACCGATTCCGGCTAATTGACTAATAAGAAACGATGATATATGGAAAGGAGGAAGGGTACTCACTTTGATAATAATGGTATTGCTGAGGGTCGTTACGGTCTAGCTTATGCAAGATCTTGACTACGTTGGTATCAGAATTGGATCCAGTGTAAGTGTTGCCGGTGCCATCGAAACAGAGGATAAGTTTCTTGGACTCTCGAGCTTGTTCGGGACCCTCAATGGTAGGTGTGCTACTTCCTTGATCCTGAATGGAAGGCATATTGGTGACAAGATTTAACCAGATACACACTAAATCTTTCGAATGTCTCGAGTCAAGACTCAGCGGGGTTGGGAAGGGTCCCTTCGCTTCCTGCTACTGGCTCTCAAGCTTCCATTTATCATGTCTTCTGTATGCGGCCACCCATCCCCCCCTCATATGTTGTATTACTACCATTGTCGTTATCCGCCCGATCGGCATGTGGCTTAATAACCGCCAGTTGGCCTAGAGAATCCAACTCTGTCCCTCGTTCCGGCTATTGCTTTTCTTACCCGTGCCAAGATATTCATGTCTCCAGATCAGAGCTAATATCCATATTAAAGACATACGACCTCGTCGTACATATTGGAGTACAGCAGCAACACAGAATCTAGGATATGCCAATTGCATCTTTGCTTTTCCTAAGCAATACCCAAGTTGCTAGGCCGCCATCTTCATGCAGATTCGTCCCCATCCCTCGATCCTCCACAGTCAGTGTAAGACAAGCTGCGGTCGCCTACACATTTCGGATATATGTGGCAAAACAGGCGGTCTTGTCAGCTATGTTGAAACAAGTCATCATTCCGAACATGGCTGATTTTCATGGATGCATGCATTTATAAGATGTAGTAAAACGATGTGTTAGGGTCGCGAGTTATACACGTAAGTTGAGATACGGGATTTGCATCGTCGACCAATAATCTACGACATGATTACTTCGTCCTATCTGGTTTGGTATTTGGACCTCATCTTTTCCATTCTAGTACTCGGAAGCAGCTTACATACATGAATTAATCTAGGACACCGCGGTTAGCGATATAATTCTCACCACTGTCGTTTGACAGTGGCGTCTATTGCGTAGACGTCGGATATCGTGATGCTTATCCGGATAGCCAACAAAAGAAAAAAGTAACTCAGTGACCTACCGGTTAAACTCCAAGTATAAGCGCGTGGCGTAGCTGAATATGAGTCCATTTCGTATATATGGGCGTAGAAAGACGGTGCGGAGAAGTGCCTAGTCTGAATTCTCGTGTCTGTAAGCATTATTTCGTTTTTCCTACTGAGAAATCTATATTACAGAATTGATCATGCCTTCCGACGAAAAGTACCAGGCCGGAGAGCATTACGGAGATGTAGAAAAAGAATCTACAAACTACTTTGCTAACCCTACGAAGATCGCGGAAGATATCTTGAGAGACGCTGTCGGCCTTGCTGGCAAGGTCAAACCCTCGGAGATTGTAACCCTCATCAAGGAGCTGGTACAAGTTGGACAGCCCATTGATGATAAAAAGGGGTATTGTTAGCCCCATCAAGCTTGGTGTGAATAGATCTAATACGCAATAGCAACACCGAGCTCTTGATTGGCATTTTGACCGCTCTCCCTTCCACGTCAAATGCTAGAGTCCAGCTTACCAACAAGCTCATTGACACCCTTTGGGATAATCTTCAGCATCCACCACTCAGCTATCTCGGAGGTGATGTTAGCTACAAGGTTGTTGGCTCTTCGAAGTCATCTAGCTCGCAAGATGCAGTGCCTAAGTCTGGCGATGCCATCGAGTTCAAGGCACCAGACAGCGATGTTATACTACGTGAGCAGATTCCGCTTGCTCCTGATGGCCTCCACCATTATCGGACGCCTGATGGGAGTTACAACAACCCTGTACAGCCAAACCTAGGCAGAGCAGGCGCTCCCTATGCTAAGTCGGTGAGAAACACGAAGCGTCTTGCCGGCGTCAAGCCCGATCCTGGTCTGCTATTTGACCTTTTGATGGCACGCGATGATGAACACTTCAAAGAGAGCCCGGCCGGTATCTCAGCCATGTTCTACTATCACGCAACTATCATTATCCATGATATCTTCCGAACAAGCCGTACGGATATGAATATATCAGATACCTCGTCGTATCTCGACCTAGCACCCCTTTATGGCTCTTCTCTCAAGGATCAGCTAGAGATCCGTACCATGAAGGAGGGTAAACTGAAGCCCGATACCTTCCACGAAAAGCGGCTGCTTGGTCAACCTGCAGGCGTCAACGTCATGTTGGTCCTCTACAGCCGCTTCCACAACTACGTCGCAGACATTCTACTAAAGATCAACGAAAATGGGCGTTTCTCGCTGGAGTGCAAGCCTGATGCTGGCCCAGAAGAAAAGGCCTGTGCCGTTGCTAAGCAAGATCACGACCTCTTCAACACAGCTCGCTTGATCACTGGTGGCCTGTATATCAATATAAGTTTGCACGACTACCTAAGAGCTATTACAAATACGCACCACTCCAACAGCGACTGGACCCTAGATCCGCGTGTCCAGATCGACAAGCAATTTGACGGCGAGGGCACACCGCGCGGCGTTGGCAACCAAGTCAGCGCCGAATTTAACCTGCTATACAGGTTCCATTCGTGCATTTCTAAGAAAGACGAGCGTTGGATAAACGGCTTCTTCCTAAAGCTCTTCCCAGACTGTGAAGCGAGTGACCTAGAGAACGTCAGCTGGACGAGGCTCGGCAAAGCTTTGGTTGACTATGAGAAGACTATTCCCGAAGACCCAAGTCTTCGTACCTTCGACGAGCTAAAGCGTCAAGCGGACGGTACATTTAAGGACGAGGATCTCGTGCGAATCCTCAAGGAGGCCATGGACGACCCTGCTGGCGTCTTCGGCGCACGCACGATCCCAAAGGCCCTCAAGGCCGTCGAAGTCCTAGGAATTATGCAAGGCCGCAAGTGGCAAGTTGCATCTCTAAACGAGTTCCGCGAATTCTTCGGGCTGAAGAAGTGGGATAAGTTCACCGACATTAACTCCGACCCAGAAATCGCCAATCTCCTGGAGAAGCTATACGCAGACCCCGACATGGTCGAGCTCTATCCGGGACTCATGATCGAAAATATCAAGCCTGTCCGGAACACGGGCTGCGGTATCCAGCCGACGTACTCACTGGGCCGCGCTGTTCTGTCTGACGCAGTCACCCTTGTGCGCTCAGATAGGTTCAACACACTTGACTATAACGTCTCTAACCTGACAAGCTGGGGTTACAATGAAGTACACTCAGACAGTAAGACCTTAGGAGGGTCTATGGCATGTGAGTAGTCTCTTAAGTTCAACTCCTTTACTTTACTTTACTTTACTTTACTTTACTTTACTTCGTATCCTGCCTCGGGGGCAAGTTTGACCCATCTAAGAGTTACTATCGTTACGATAAATCTATATATTTATTACATGTCTCGCTTAAAGATGCTGCTGACCCTTGGCACCATAGATAAACTAATCCAGCGTGGTCTTCCCGGCTGGTTCCCTTACAACTCAGTAGCCGTCATGCAACCCTTCTACACGAAGAAGGCTAACACGGCCATTGCCAAAGAACTCGGCACTATTGACCACTATACCCAGAACGATCCACAGCCACCCCGGAAATCCGTTGTGCTCTTCACTAACCCGGCCATCGAGCAAGTCCTCAACAAACATACAGAGTTCCTCATCCCCTGGGCCTCGCCCCTTAACGACCTGTTCATGGGCAAGAAGGACGTTAGCTGGTACATGTTAGCCGGCGACAAGCCGGAAAACGAAGCTAACCGCACTAATATGATCAATGCGATGAGAAAAGTTCCCGATATCAGCGGTGCTATTCAGAGGTTCGTCGAGAGCGTGGGCTCGAAACTTATCCAGAAGGAGACGTTCCAGCTCAAGAAGGGCCTCAACCAGATCGATATAATTCGCGACATCGCCATCCCGCTCAACGCTCAGCTGCTCGCCGACCTGTTCTACTTCGACCTCAAAACTGACGAGAACCCGAAGGGCTCGCTTGGTGTCGCGGAGCTGTACGAGCATCTACTGGATATCCGTATCTGGGGCGTCAATAACAACGACCCCGGACAGGCTTGGAATCGCCGCCGCAAGGCTCAGGAGAGCGCTAAGATCATCATTGATACTACGAGGGTTCTTGTCGATGATGTCGATCGTTTGCGCGGCGTGCTTGGCTCTGTACTTGATAGCAGCGTGGGGCGAAAGGCCAATCTCAAGTCTGGCTCCCTGCGTTCTTGTGGTCATAAGCTTGTCGAAGAGCTCCTGCGTCATGATAAGCCCGAGAGAGTGACCGACATACTATGGCTTACTTCTTTTGGTGGAATTGGAGTTGTTGTTACGGCGGTAAGTTGCCTACAGCCACCTCTCCGGCCTATATTGCGCATGCTAATATATCTCCCCTAATTCCAGTTCTACGAGATCTTGGAGTTCTTCCTGCGCAAAGAGAACGCGTCCATCTGGGCAGAGGTCCAGGCCCTCGCGCAGAAGAACGACAACGATGCCATTCGCGACTACGTCCTAGAGGCCCAGCGCCTCACGAGCACACAGCGCATCATGCGTGTCGCGACTAAGCCGGATGAACTTGAGGGCAAGAAGATTCAGCCGGGCAACTTTGTCGTCTTGCTGCTCGTAAGTGCCCCCCTCCCCCTTTTCTATCTCACCTATCTTCCTATAGTTCACTCTTGAGCCAAAATCAAGTCGATACTAACCACCTTGCCACCGCCCAGGGCGAAGCCGGCCGCAACCCCTCCGAAGTCCCCAACCCAGACAAATTCGACCCGAAGCGCAAGACTGGCCCCGTGTCGTCGTACAGCGACGGGCAGCACGAGTGTCTGCTGAAGCACCTGATCCAGATCTTCCTCACGGGCCTGGTCAAGCTCACAGCTGATCTGAAACAACTACGCCCCGCGCCGGGCCAGATGGGCCAGGTCAAGACGATCCAAGTCGGCACCGAGAAGGCGTATCTGAATGACAGTTGGTCGTATCTGGGCTTTGATGCTAGCAGTACGTTTCTCCGTCCCCTATCCTTACCACCCCTTTCTTTACCGCTGCCTCGCTACGGGAGTATAGTTACTATTTCGAGTGGTATAATTACTTAACTATGCATAATCATGTTGTTACTCTATGTCACGATGGGATCACATACATTATTAGCGAAATAGAAGTAACCGTACATCTGCTAACGTCCCACCAGCATGGAAGCTCCACTTCGACGGCCACGGACAGGGCG